TATGTGGTGTTTTGCAGATTCTACATTATTCTTTAGGGTTAAATAGTATTCCGTTGTGTGTATGTACCACAGTTTGGTTATCCATTCTTCTTTTGATGTGCACATAGGTTGTTTCCATCTTTCTGCTATTGTAAACAGTGCTGTGATGAACATGGGTGTGCATGTATCTGTTCTTGTCTTGGCTTTCACTCCTTTAGGATATATACCTAGCAATGGGATTGCTGGGTCAAATGGTATTTCTAACTCCAACTTTTTAAGGAATCTTCACACTGTTTTCCACAGTGCTTGTATCAGTTTACAGTCCCAACAGCAGTGTATGAGAGTCCCAATCTCTCCACATCCTTGCCAGCATCTGCCACTTTTTGTCTTGTTGAACTTTGCCATTAGTGCTGGGGTGAGATGGCATTTCATTGTTGTTTGGATTTGCATCTCTCTGATGGCTAATGATCATGAGCATTTCTTCATGTATTTGCTGGCTGCCTGAATATCCTCTTTGGTGAAATATCCATTCATGTCTTCTGACCATTTTTTTAATTGGATTATTAATCTTTTTTTGTTGAGGTGTTGGAGTTTTCTATAAATGTTAGAGGTAAGTCCCTTGTCAGATGTGTAATTATCACCAAGTATGAATTTGTTGCTATCATTTTATTATGTTATGTGCTTTTTCGTGGTGTTGATTTCTTTGTTTCATATAATTTTCTGTGCTGAGCTCGTTTCATTTATGAATCGTGTTATCACTTCCTTCATTGCTATTGTTTTAGCATTTGCTAAGTATTTGTGCTGGTCCTCTTTTTTATTTTGATGTGAAGGTTTATCATTTTTCTTTGAGGTTACTCTGTTATTTATAATTTCTTCCCAAGTTTAGAACAGTCCGTTCTATCTTGTAGTTGTCTTGACTTCCCTGCCATTTAGAAGTTCTGTAACTACACAGTTTTTTTTTCCCCTCTTTTTAGTTTGTAGTTGTCTTCATTTGTCAATTGATATCTCTGGTTTACAATCTTGTAGGCGTATTTGCTTTGGATACTTCCTTAACGGGGTTAGTTTC